GTAGTTCCTTCCCTACTTTACTATTAATAGTAAAAATATGAAAATATGATATGTGTATTTGAGATAACTCTTCTAAATAAAGTTGAGAGAGAGAGAGAGAGATTTTGAGGACTTCTTTTTCCTGGATGGAAGGCGTGGCTACAAAAGATTTTTATATACTTTCTTGTGATATGAATCTAGAACTGAGGATTGTCCTGACAGAATGGCATTACACAACTCTCTTGAACTCAGAACAGGGTTATTTGTACTGTCCTCACTATTTCTTATGCTTCCATAACTATCTTGGTTTCATAAAGGGAAGATTTTGAATACTGAAACTTTCATTAAATGTTTTTTTTGTTTGGGGCTGTTTTTTGTTGTTGTTGTTGTTTGTTTTGGTGCCAGTCCTGGACTTGAACTCAGTACCCGGGCTCACTCTTTGAGCTTTTTTGCTCAAAGCCAGCACTCTACCATTTGAACCACAACTTTACTTCTTGTTTTCTGGTAGTTAACTGGAAGTAAGAGTTTCACAGACTTTCTTTCCCAGACTGACATTAAATCATGATCCCCAGATCTCAGCTCCTAAATAGCTAGGGTTACAGATTGAACCACTGGTGCCTTGCTAAGTATTTTTATTTTTAACATTTTTATACTTACATGTAAAAAAGTATTCTCCTGTCTTTCACTAATGTCTACCTTCTGCTTCAGGCTTTTAGACCATGCCAGTAACATCATCAACTTTAATCATTATACCTCCCAATTCCTTGATTACTTAGAAGTAATCTTTCACCAGTGGCAACTGGATAAAAGAATGCTAATTTATATATACCCATTTTGTTCACAAGGGAAGTCTAAAGTCCTAAAGAACTTTCTGAGGCTAATTTTGATAGAAAATCTGCTGCATTACGTCCTAGTAAACATTTCCCAAGTGTTCTCTGTAGGCTATTTTGAAAGCAGTTAACATCTGTCCTCTGTCACAGGTTGGTGGGAAAACATTCTCCAAATGGCACTCCATATGTGACTGGCATCTTTGATGACACTATCCAATAAAAGTGTTTGCCATAAACTTATGGCACTCAGGAATGCAAAGAGAGCAGAGCCATAGTGAGTCTACTAATGGAGCTAGTACCATATTTACATTGTTTGTGCATATAAGCAATGAATCAAGAAAAATGTGGCATATACGCACAATAGAATTCTATTCGTCTAGTAGAAAGAATAGTGTATCAGTTGTAAAGAAATGGAAAAAATTATTTCAAAATTATTCCCTATCTGTGGAAGCTAGATTTAGCTTGTACACTTGTAAGAAAATAGGTTGAGTGATATATAAGTGCATACAAATGTATTAACCGAAATATGGTAGATACAAGGGAGACCTCAAATAGCATAATTCCTTAGAAAGGCCAAATCAAACTTCATCAAAATAAAACATCAGGAAGCAGATACTCAAAACAAGTGGAGTGGGTCAGGGAAAATGGGGAGAGGTAGACTAATGAAGAAAGGAGTGTGGAAAATCCAGATAAGATTCCAAGGTTAAGAGTCTCACAGACTTTTCTGCCCCAGCTGGCTTTGAACCACGATCCTCAGATCTCAACCTCCTGAGGAGCTAAGATTTCAGTAGCTAGGATGACAGCCACGGGTGCCTATCTGAGCTGATGATTTTATGACAGCTTTCCAGGGGATAATAGATGGTTTTCAGATTCTCTGTGCGTTGAACTATACTAAGTAGATTGTTAAGAGTCTGGTGGGTTGTACATTAACAAAAGTCTTTGCTTTGTTTGAGAGAATACAGTCTTCTTTAAAAAAAAAGGTTTTTTTCTGGTAAGTTTGATTTTCATGTTTTCTTGCAAAACTCTGAGTGCTTTTAATTGACTTTCCCATCCTAATAAATGTGTTTAGCTTAGCTCGGTAAATGTGATTTTCGATTTTGTCTTTTGTTTTCCTTGATTCAGTCATTGCGGCTTGCAGGGAAATAATGGTTCATTTGTTCTCAGAACGCTTAAGGATTTAAGGCTGAAGTAAACCATGGCAATTTCGTATGAGCTTCCTCTCTCCCTCTTCTTTATTCATCTCTATGAAAGAGTAGGATACGCCGGGGTGAAAATTAGCCATAACCTCTCTCATGTCCAGTGTGTTAAATGTCTCCATAAAGAGGTTTAGTTTGTGGCACATCTCCATCTTCCTGTTGTCTTTATTCTGGGTGTTTACAATGCCACTGAACCTGTATACAGAGACCATATGAAAATTTATGACCCTTTATATACTGCAATTGGCAATGACATGGAGGACCTGTAAGACATGCCAAGCACAATAAGTCAGCTATAGATAGAACAGTACAGTAAGCCTGGCTTACTCACAGATTTGGTGCATACAGTTTTGACCATATCTGGAAAAAAATTATTTTTTAAATCAAAAGACCAGTGGCTCACACTTGTAATCCTACCTATTTAGGAGGCTGAGCTCTGAGAATTACCATTCAAAACCAGCCTGGGCAGAAAAGCCAGTGAGAAGACTCTGATCTCCATTTAATCAGTGAAAAAGCTGAATTAGAGCTATGCTTTGAGCACACAGCCTGGTGCACAAAACCTCAAGGGTAGTGCCCAGGTCCTGAGATCAAGGCCCAGGACTGACACCGAAATTTTTTAAAAATTAAAAGAAATCTCAAAGATGATTAGAGATGTATTTCAAGTGGTGGGATACCTGTAAGCAAGCGCAAGGCTCTGAGTTCACATCCTAAAACCAAAAGAAATGTCAAAAACACAGTATTTTTTTTATTTCTGTGAATAGAAAATACAGCTAAAATGATGCAGAACAGCTCCTAGTGCTGTGTGATACTCAGCCATGTTTAAATCCTTGTGTGGCCTACTGAATGTTTTTTAATTTGTAAAAATAGTCCCTCTCAAAAGCAAATAGTGTTCCAAATACAAGTAGAAAGTGAATTGGCTTTAATTTACGTGATAAAGTGAAAACTGTACAATTGTTGAAAAGATGCCATCTGTGGTGTTTTGGGAAAAATGAATCAAGCATCCACAATACAATTATGAACTCTATGCTCCCTTAGTATTTGTGGCTTTCTTATTTTTATTTTTATTTTTTAAGTAGACATATAAAAGAGGTACCATCACACAGAGCAGTTTATGAATGCAGTGCATCTTGATCAGCACCACCTCTTGTGTTTGTCATTCAGTGGTGGCCTCCTTATAACCACAGAGATCACAGAGATAAACATGTGAATTTATGAAATCTTCCACTATTCTCCAATTAGGCACCGTCCACCATTCTCATTTGGGAATCACCTAGGTTAGAGGCAATGAGAGAGAAAGCTTGTTCATCTTTGCAGAATCAATGACTGGCACTGAGTTTCATTCTAGGTGCTTCTACTCATCATTTTAGAAGGTTAGAGCATTCAAACCTTCCAGCACCTGTCCACTAAACATCTATTGAAGGAATTCTATTTTCTCTGTCACAAAAGTAGACATTATTACAACCAGTAAAATCTCCATCTGAGACATTCTAGCAGCCACTTGTTAACTGTTCAACTTGCTCGCTCAAGTCTAAAGGTACTCAATACAAATGTTATACTTCAGTGTACATCCTGCACTCCTTGAGGAGGGGTGGACAATTCTTAATCTGCTCTTGTCTTAGTGTGGCATATTAGACCCCTTTGAGTAAATGGTTCTTTATCAATATTCTGAGTTTTAGAACAAATAGGAAGGAAGGAACAAATAGGAAGGAAGGAATGAACGAAGGAAGGAAGGAAGGAAGGAAGGAAGGGAGGGAGGGAGGGAGGGAGGGAGGGAGAAAAAGAAGAAAAGATCACTGGGGCGCTGGTGATCTCTCCAAACAGCCTTCACATTTTTAGCTACAGAATGAATCATATATAATATAACCTCATGCAAGTATTCAATAAAAAATCAGTTATGACAAGAATATTTGTACTATACATAAAATAGTTTATAGCTGAAGAATTGAGACATTTTTTGACTTGTCTTATAAAAAGGATATGATTCTCTTCTCTAAAGGTGCCCAGAAAGGCTGATATATCTTCAGGAATACTCATTTGTTATAGCTCATATCTTTTAAGAGGGAAACGCACTGCCTGGTATTAATTCTGCAAAGACTAAGAAGCTTTCTACCATTGCTTATAACCTAGGTGCTTCTATGCTATAAAATCAACACCTGAGATGATTTATTACCAGGATTTATTACTTAATGTAAAATGACTCTGCTTCTCTATGATTGGTTTCTCGATGCTGTGATCACTCTAGACCTCAAGAGAGAGAGATCAGAAAACATATCATTTGTGTTAACATAGGAATTACTGGGGGGGGAAATCCCTACTGTGTTGGCTTTTCTCAGGGATAGTGAAATGAAAAGAAGATACCACGCTATTAATGGCAAAAGATGCTCTGAAAATCTTTCCTTTAGTATTCAGAATCCTAGTCTAACTTCCAAATTAAAATGATCACGGCCCAAGTGAAGTTCCAATAAGCAATTTGTTCCATCACCAGTATCCCACCCTCTGGCCACAGAACCCAGCATTATCCAGTTCCCCTCTGCTTTACATGCCAAAATTGAGAACAACACACCTACTCCCCTCCCCACTAGACCAATCAGAGCACATGCACCCACTGAGAAAGGACATTCCACTCAAGGATGAAGAGATCAGGTGAGTTCAGAAAAATTTATTAAGAATTTGTCAAGCACATTTGGCAACTCCATCAAGACATGAAGCATATTGGGGAGGAAAATCGAAGAGTAATACAGTCAATATGGTTGTCAAGTTTCAGAAGATGTCCCAACCAGCATCATCATGCAAGGAAGACAGCTTAAAATGTCATCTGTTTCTTTTTTTCCAGTTTCTTCCTTTGGAACTCTGGGTGCAGCATCTCAAAAGCAGCCACTGGGAGGTTGGTGGATAAGCCAATGAGGATTCAAGAAGTGGATAAAGAGGAGCCTGGAGGTGTATAACATAGCCTTCAGGGAGACACGAAGATTCTATCCTTAAGATGTTCAGCAAATCAGTAGAGAGCATAAGGCCAGTATCTTCTGTAAGCCCCACAGCCATTGTAACCATAGCCAAGGCCATAGCCTACTGGGGAGTAGGTGCTGCCGAAACCACAGCCAACGCTGTACCCCAGAGGATAGCCGTAGCTACCCCAATAGCATCCTGGGAAGACAGAGGTGCCAAAGTCGTTGTAGAACATGGTGGAAGGAATGGAAGGCTGAGGTGGCAAGGGAGAATGGAGTGTGATGGATTTCCTAGGCTGAGAGCCACCTTTATATACCCTGGCCAGGGGGTGTGGTTAAAACAACAACAAAAAAAAACAGAAGGGCTTTATTTTCATTCTTGACACCAATTTGTACCACCAAAAGCTCATTAATCTGCTTTGCTCTTGCTTAAGAGTCTTTACAGTTGCTTAGGAAAGCTTCCATGTGGTATAATACAGGGAGAGGATTCCTTCAAACAAATTACGTGCCTTCCTAAAGAAATTATTGCGGTGGCTTCAAAGCACTCGATCTTCTAGACCCTCTGCATAATTGTCAGTAAGCAGGCTTTGTAACGCCAAGGAAGATTAGGCCCTTGTTAGGCTCTCTTCCATCCTCTGGCTTTTTCAATTTCCACAACACACAGGTGAGATTAAAGAAACATGTGCTGAACACAGTAGTAAATGAAATAGTAAATAAATGATGAGTCCATTTCAAAATTAAAGTGGATCTTAGTGGTTGCTTGCTAAAAAGTGCTCTTTGGGGGAGAATATAAGACAAATGCCAGAGGAATTCTCAGAAATATGCATTATTTTTGTTTTTCGTGTCCAAAACTATTCTATTTAGGAAAAGCTGGTTAAAAAATCTTAATCATGTCCACATCTGAAATATATCTAACATGTCCAGACAAGTTCTTGAATTATTAATATTATCATATAAAAATAGTTTGTGGATTTATTCTAATATGTGAAACAAGTGTAATTGGTTGGTCTGATACACTCTTCAAAGTGAACATTGAAAATAACAGCAAGGTAAAAAAATGAATAGGCAATTTCACACTAAAACATAGATACATCTTCTCCTAGATGTAACAAAACCAAATTTTCTGACAAACCTGATGATCTTATGAAGGGCCAGGTAACAATATTAAGTCAGTATTATTTTATTTTGAGAATGCATCCCATGATTTTCAGGCAGCCATAATTCTTCTAAAAGAAACTGACTGACTTCTAACTTCTAAAGTCTGAGCTAAAGGAGGGATAGGAACAAACAGAACCATTGTGAATCATACAAGACCTGGTAAATTACTACTAGATGTCTGTATTGAAATTCCCCACTGAGGAACTTGGCGTAGAACTTACACCACATGTGACAGACAAGGGAAAGGTACACTGAAGTAGAAAGACTGGAAGGAAACACTGCAGGAGTGATATAATACAGCAAGTAAGAATTATAAGCTAGCCCCAAATCTTACTTAATATCCAAGAGGCAACTTTCCTCTCTTCCCTCACAGCTGTGGGGGGGTAGAGATGGGTTGAATCCAAGGGTAAGGTAAGACTCTTGGAGAAATACAAAACTATGCCAGTATTCTAACCACTAATTGTTTAATTACCGCACAGACATTTTTGAAAATACCTACAGTACTGCACCACCACCTTGCTTCATAAAGCTGTGGAGCTGCCTGTGGTGATTCAATATTTAATATTAAAAAGAATCAAATACTACTTGTGATCTATAGCTAAGTAAGGCCAAGGAATTGAAATCAACTTCTTTTTTACCTATCAGAAAAATCAACAGAAGATCATTACTTAACAACCTCAGGATGATCTACACTATATTTTATTGTGCTGTTTCATAACAATAAAGAAAGGAAATCATGGCTAACATTTGGAAATAAGGAAAATAGTAAATGTCATTGTATAATGAAAGAGGTTTAGATGACTGTCAAAGCTCATTCATGCTTGGTTTAAACATTGGATTTGAACTACTCTAGCCAGCTAAATGTACTGAACAAGATAAATACTGCCTTTAACAAAAGCAGAATGTTGAATGTTCTCAAACATACCTGGGATATTCTCCAGGAGGAATAATGTATTCAACCGCCAAGTGAGGAGTAAAATTTTAAGAACATTGACATTACATCAGGCATCTTTTCTACCTACAATATAAAATTCGAAACTGAGCCAGCTCACATCTGTAATCCTAGCTACTCAGGAGGCTGAGATCCAAGTATCGAGGTTCAAGGCCCGCTCAGACAGGAAAGTCCATGAGACTCTTACCTCTAACTAACCACTGGAAAACCAGATATGACACTGTGGCTCCAGTGGCAGATCGCTAGCCATCCTTGCACTGAAGAGCTGAGGGACAGTGCCCAGGCCGAGAGTTTAAGCTCCATGATTAACAAAAAAAAATCGAAACTGATAATCTGATAATAGGAAGGAGACTAAAAATTTCACAGAAATGAAGAAATTAAACACACATTCTTCCAATGAATTGAAAGAGAAATCCACAAGTACCTCAAGATCAGCAACACTGAAAAGAATAAAACACTAAGATTCATGGAATGCAGCAAAAGTTCTAAGAGAAGTTTTTAGAAACAAACTCTACCATAAGTAAAAGAAAGATTTCAAACAAACCCAATTCACCTTTTTTTTTTTGAGGAACTGGAATGGACAGAAGAAAGGAAATAGATAAAAGCATTAGTACATGAAATAGTCTAGAGAACAGTAGAATATTATGAGTTTTTTTAAGATAAAACTGACAAATCTTTACCGAGGACAAGACTCAGATAAAATGAGAAATGTAAAAGGAGGTATTATAACTGGTGCCACAGAAATATAAAAAGCCCATAAGAGTCTTTAATACGCAGATAGGTTGAATAAATTATATGAAATGGGTAACTCCTAGAAGCACTCAACCTACCTAAAATTAATAATAGAATATGAACAGTCCAATAATGAGTAAAGATATTAAATCAGCAGTAAAAAAATAAATCTCCTTTAAAAAAAGATCAACAACATACCTGGTAGCTTAACTGTTGGATTCAACAAACAATCTAAATAATACCAATGCTTCTCAAATTCTTCCCCAAAATTTAAATGATAAGACCATTCCCAAACTTATTTTTTCAAGGTCCACATTTCACCCTAGTAATTGGAGTCCAGACAGAGACTAAAAAAGGTAAATGAATTAATATCCCTGATGAGTACAGATTTTAAAATCTTCCACAAAACATTATCCAAAAAATCACCAACACACTAGAAGGAGCATAGACCCTTGGCTTAAATAAAATGCATCCCTAGTGTTCAAAAATGGTCCAATTTACACAAACCAATTAATGTGACATGCTCTGTTTACAGAATGATTATTTCAGTAGATTTAGAAAAGAATTATAGAATTCAACCTCTTTGCATATTAAAAACTCCTAATAAATTAGGCAGAGAAAGAATTATACTTCAATATAAATAGCACTCTTAGAAGGAAAACAATCAAAATGAACTTCAATAATATCTATTGCTTTATCCTAAGATCAAATTTGTTTTGTCATTTTAAAAATTATCTAAAAGTACACAACTCATTTTACTTAAGATCTTCCTCCTCCTCCTCCTCTTCCTACTCTTCCTCCTTCTCCTCCTCCTCCTTCTTCTTCATTCTACAAATTTATGATGTATCTCTTTGTTCTCTAGATTGCACATAGGCCATTTGTTCTGCATGGGATCACTTTTCTTTCTTTCATCAATTCTATTGTAACCTTCAGAATCCAGCTCTATTGCTTCCTTTAGGAGTATCATGGAGGGACATCAACTTTCTCATGAACGTAGCACTTACCAAAGCTGCCCTGTAACCTTTAACTGTGTCACCGACATCTTTCTCCCTTACCAACATGCTTGTTTCCATGAGAACAAAACTCATGTTTTGCTTGGTCATCCTTCATTCCTTAGCACCTTGCTCGCTACTGGACACAATGCAGATTTTCAGTAGATATAAATTTAATAAGTTAATGATAGGACAGTCTAAGCCTAGGTTGTCCACACATGTGCTATGAGAATTTAAGCAAAACACTTTTCAGGGCTCAGTTTACTCAACTACAAAATTAGATAAGCCAATGCAACCCTTTTTCATTAAAATTTGTTCAGGTAAGCATGTGACTACAGAAAATACTTCTGCTCACCTTATCACACATCCTGCTAAGACAAACTAATAAGCTCCTGGCTGCATCCCGTGATAAATGAAGCGCAGCAATGCAAATCACAGAGCAGAATTGCCGAAACCCCAAAGGAGTGAGTACACTAATCATCTTAAAGGTTAGACTGTGCAGCAACCTCCCAAGGTACTTATTTATGGGGCAAATCTTGGGTACCATTTCTATGGATCCTGATTTTGTCAGTCTAGGCTGAGGCCAAGAAATCCTCATTCTCAACAGAAGCCCAAGAGGTCCCCATGACAGCCATGCCTGGTGAAATTCACGTTTTTCTATAGTAAGGCGGCTAAAGCGATAGGCTCTTTAACTTGAATCTGTTGAACGTAAAATGATGAAAGGTGAAAAGGCGACACTCCTGCAGCTAGACTTACTAACCAGGGTCAGCGGGATTTATCATTATCAGCATCTGTACTCGATGTTTGCCAATGCCCAGAGTGAATTTTTAATTTTTTGCAATGATCAGGAGTATAGATTGATGCCACTTAGCATGCAATTGATGAGACACTAGAGATACTTACAAATAGCCTACAGAACACAGGACCACCCCTCCACAGATTTATCTGATTTAAGAGAAGGGGAAAGGATCCCAATGATCCAGGTATATTATATACATGTAATAACATTAATACAATATAGACTTACATAATTTATAATACAATGTATACATTATACATAGCATATGTATATATGTATATACAGTGTGTGTATATATACATTATGTCTATAGTGTACATATATACATATATGTGTATATATACATTATATACAATGTAGACACAATATGTATATATACATCCTTGTGCATATATATATACATACATGTATATACAATGTATATATAATATCTATATGAATATTTCTTGTATAAATGAATATAATATAAATATTTTATATGTATATATTAGATAATATACAAATATATAATATGTGATTGTATATCATATTTATATATTTATAGCATGATAAAACCCACAAAAAACTGCTAAAAGGAAGGATGAGGAAGAGTAATGTAGATGT